TGCATAGCTTATTTCAAAACAGGGAGAGTCTACACAGCACTTATTTCAAAATAGAGAAGCTGTCCCGCTGCGGGTGGCCTCCGAGGCTTTGCTCCCCGTCTCCCTGGTCTGACCAGCAGACCAAGGAGATGGGGAGCAAAGCCTCGGAGCATGCCAGCAGCGGGACAGCCGCGGCGCGTCTGGACTGTCCCGCTGCCGGCTTTCCCCGTGGCTTTGCAAAGCCTCGGGGGGGAGGGAGGGGAAGCAGAGCAGCTTTTCTCGCCTGGAGTACACGGGCGGCGGGACCGCGAGGTCCCGCAGTCCGTGTACTCCGGGGCAGCCCCGTTCGTAACTGCGGATCCGACATAAGTCGGATCCGCGTAAGTCGGGGACTGCCTGTATATGGTTCAGAGCATTAATTGATCTCCTATCTTCCAGTATACTATATACATTTTTAATATTATTTTTATGGCATTTGGTCTTTTTTCCTTGTACTCCTTCAAGCAGCTATAAATCTATATGGGAAATAAGATTTACAGCAAAACTGATATTTTATTTACACAAACTGCAAACTTCGAACAAGTTCTATAACAGTGTCAAATGGGTCCGATTTCAAAATCCTATTTAGAAGTTAATTTATAAGAAGATATCTTCATTTGAGGTATATTACTAACCATTTAAGTGCAGCATGTTACCTTACATGGGAAGTTATTTTTTAACATCACAGAGTATGTAACAATTGTTGACAAACTTAATAGTACCACACTTAAGTATAGCGGCGGTATTCAATTTGTTGCATCATCCCTTTGTAGGGGGATTATCTGAAGTTCTTTAGCTATTCTCTCTCCTAGGACTTGACTACTTGCAGCAATTATTCTTCGTGACATCAAATCAAATGGTCCTCCTGAAAACAAAGTCAACACAGTAACTGGCTTGCAATATTAGAAGAATTTGAATCTTGACAAAAATAAGCAACTGTCAAAATGTAATACTCAGTCTAGGAGAAACTGTACTAACAAATCCAAATCTAAAAAGGTGTACACATTACAGGATGTAAAATACAATCTAGCAGCTCATTCATGAATATAGCAATCAAATTCTTCATGCTACCCAACATAGGGAAATACTACTAAGGAGGATGAAGCCCCAACTCTACTGGATTTATACTGAGCACCCCAACAATACTAGAAATGTGTTACATTAACAGTTGCATAAGGGAAGCAGCATATATTTAACACATTTTGCTTAGAAACCACATATATTTGATCTTTAAGTTGAAGGATCTGTAAAGGATTTGGCAAGAAATGAGTAAGGGTAAAAGGTTAAAAAGAGAGACACACCATGACCTCATTCCCCCTCCTCTTCAAATGTTCAACCCAGCAGAACAGCAGAGCTGTGTGCTAAAGGAGAATAGGAAGGGTATGCTCCACACAACTCAAGGAATAGCTGATTAGAGGTTTCTCTGGGGCTACTTCAGCCTTATGGCTGATGTAAATCCTGCATGTCCCTAATTAGACCATACTACTGAGGCAAACTAGAATTTGACCCTTGATATGAACAGGGAATGATAATCAGAAATAGAGATCATCACAATCATGGGGATGGGTAGGAGCTCTATCCATTAGTGTTGGTCTAGATATTCTCAACTGTCTTTGAAGCCTCTTATTGCCATCACTTACCAAACATGGAAAGTTTTCCTGTCTGCTGTGGCTGAATGTATGAAACCATTTCACTTAGGTAGAATTAAACAGTTGTTACAATTTTTTCTACCAAAGTAAATATTTAGTAAGGGTAATTATTTCAGATCAAATTCTGCCTGCGATAAGCATGCACAAGCTTCACTGAATTAATCTAGAAACTAACATTCAGATCTGGGAGCAAAATTCAGACTGATCATTTACTTTAAAATGCTATCAAGAAATGATACTGCTGTAAGTGACTTCATGCTAGCGAGCAAGAACTTCTGCTAAGCGAACTAAAGATTAAAACAAGTAACAATTATTCCTAAGCATTAATTTGATATAAACAGTGTTTAATAAAAAAAATATCCAGATGACAGGAAGGCTGAAAATCTTATTGATATTGGTCTTCATTTTGATTTGCTATGTGGCTGATAAAGGGCAAGAAAGCACCTACGAATGCCAACATTCTCCATACCTCAGTTTATGAAAGTATCCACATTGTAAAAAAAATATCAATTTCCCAAAAGTTCCTTTCATTTACCTGATATATCCAGCAGCACTCCACCTGCTTCAGTAATGATAATCCCAGCTCCTGCCATATCCCAGCAATGAATGCCCATCTCATAATATGCATCAGCTCCACCAGTTGCCACAAGGCACATATTTACAGCTGCTGTACCAACAGCTCTAATCCTAAAACAGATACAGAGACGCATTATTTGAGAGTAGTTTACAGGAACATCAAAATATTAAAACTAACCACACAGTGTACACCGGACAGAGTGAATAAAGCAAAGAAGGGAACTAACGCTAATTACTGTGAGAAGTGTGCCAGTATATATTTATTCCTCTGTCTTCTCCTGCTCACTTTCTATCCATGGCAAACAAGTGTGAATGTATTCATTCACTGATTTCAGTTGACTAGCCTTAAAAAGAAATCATAACTAAATAATAGTAAATTCATAGGAAATTATTCTCAAAACTACTTTTAAGGTGAAAGCATCAGTTGGGTTAAAATAACACAAGATAAAAATGATGAAAAATATCTACCTTTGCAATAATTATTGCCCCAGAACAAATTATCACATTCATGAACTTGTCAGATAGCACATATTTTTGTATGTCAGACAGTTATCAATAAAATCTAGACCAAACTATTACATAAAGCATGGTGCAATCAGGTCATGGCAAGAGCCAATTTAATCATTCCTTCATTTACAAAGGGCATATATCTGGCATCTTAGAATTTCAAAATACAGATTCAAAACTGAAACAACAACATTATTGTGCTCTGAGCAAACATAGTTTATTCATTTCACAGAAAACCTAAAATCAGTTTTCAAGTGTAAACAGGTGAAACTTGTTTCATGATATCAAAAAAAATCTCTATGGAAGTATGAAAAGCGTAAGTGCTCAAGGAATCAGAAAGGAGCCTGAGAATCCTGGCAGAAAGGATATTTTCTGATTGGTACTTTGGGCCCAATCCTGCAATTCTTTCTCATATAAGCATTCCCTTTAAACTCAGTTGTGTGAATAAAAATTGCATGATCAGAACTGTAAAAAGGCGTTTTACCGCCCTTAGCCAGCAAGCATATTTGTGGCTCTACCATTTCTCATTTTTCTGCCCTTGCAGCTTTGCACACTGCATGGTTTCCCCGCTTGTCCCTGGGTCACAGACCTGTGCATAATAGGACCCTCTAGGCCAGAAGTGGGCAAAGTATGTTCTATGTGCTGGATCTGGCCAAACATTTTCCTCCAGCCCATCAAGACCAGTGTTCTCTCTAAGCTGTGCAGCAGCACAGTTTCACACGTGATTAATTAGCTCCACCCGGTCAGTCAGCTCCATGCAAGGAGCCCTGAACCTTTGACTGGGCAGGACTGATTAATCACCTGTGAAGCTGTGTTGAAGCACAGCTGAGAGAGAACTCTGATCAAGACCCTCTGGGTCAGGTCCAGAAGAAAATGTCCCGTGGCTCAGGGACAACTGCCTGCCTTCTGTAGCTCCAATCATGCCACTTCCAGAAGTGCATCGGCTGGAGGATACTGGCAAGTGTGCCTCAGAGTCCCTCAGGGGGTGGCAAGGAAGGGGGACAGCAGGTCTACACTTTGCCCATGCCCATAAGCACTGCCTCAGCCACCCTCACTGACCTTCATTTTCAGTCAATGGAGCTGTGAGGATGGTGCTGGGAGTAGGGGCAGCACACAGACTTGATGCTCCGCTCCTTCTAAGGGGTGTCCAGAGACATGGTTTCCAGCAACAACTGGCAGCTTTGAGCAGCATGGGGCCATCACAGTGCCGCACTGTACTGCCAGCTGCATATGGTAAGTGCCTTTTAAGCCTGCACATAGCCTCCCTTCCCTTTCGCACCCAAATCCCTGCCCCAGGCCAGAACCCCCTTTTGGACCCAAACTCCCTCCCAGACTCCACACACATCTCCATTAATACAATAGAAAAGTGTGGTCTATGACCACTTACAAAATTCTTGGAGTGCTCCCCGCACCCCCCTGCAAAAATTATTTGCCCACCTCTGCTCTAAGCCAAATGCATATAAGCAAGGCTGGTCAAAAAATATCCACTGAAACAGTTTATGATAAACAAAAAAAATTGGCTGTGTAAAACTGAACTTTTGTTGAAAAATATTTTTGCCAAAACCCAAAAAATATCACTCCATGGCTGAATTTTTTTGTCTGCAGGAAAAAAAAAATTCTGAAAAGCTCTACATAAAAGTTAGGTTATCATCTCTTGATTTTTCTCCTTAGTTACACCAGAGAAGGGGAACCTAGATAACCTGATAGATCTTCTCTGTACCTAGTTTCTATAGTTTCACACGACAGATTGTACCTCCAAAAACCAGCACTCTCCTCTGGTCTGGCAACATCCATAGTTCAACAGGACCACAGATGCTCCTGTACTAGAGAACCCAGGAGCCTATGAACAGGAGGGCCAGCTGGGTGCAACGAGGACGGCAGCTTGGCTAGGGACAGCGTGACACCGTGGCTGGAGCCCCAAGGCAGCCTCCAGCAACCCATGGCAGCATGGGTCCGCCGCCTCCTGGCAGTTCCTGGGAGCTTGGGGTCGAGGCCAGAGCTCCATGGCAGTGCGGGGCCAAAGCCTCCAGCAGTTCGGGGCTGAAGCCCCCTGACAGCATGGAGCTGAGGCCAGAGCCCCAATCCCTGGCAGACTGCTGGAGCGCAGGATCACGATTGAGCTTTATGGCTGCCTCTAGATGTGCAGGGCTCTGCTAGAGCCTGTGATGCCCAGGGAGCTGGCAGCAGCTGGACAAGCAACCCAACCAGGATGGGTGTGGGGGAGACAGCAACAGTTGATGGGCTTAGCAGGAGACCATTCCTGATCCAGCAAATTCTCTCATGCTGAACCAGGGAGGTACAACCTGTACTGTTTCAAATGTCTCTGTACAAGAATGTATAAAACATGATTTCAGGGAAAAAAATAGTTTTTAAAAACCATTGTAAAATGATACTTTTTGGTCAACAGAAACTAAAGTTTAGTTCAGAACATATATAAAGGATTTTAGGTCTGTAAGGATCTTTTGATTAGGGTAATATAGCCTATACTGCTTTCTATAGAATAATCCATTAAGTAGGTTTTTCCAGGATAAATTTCTATGCCAACATAAAGCCCTTGGGTTTAAATGAAGCAATGAGCATCAGTAAGAGTAGCTGAGGTTACAAAGTTTAGTGCCTTTCTCCATGGGGATATTTTGGGAAGCAAGCAATTTTATGGAATGTGTCCCCTCCTGAGGTGTCCGATAAGGGGGCAACCATCCACCCTTAAATTCTGCATCAGACATTCGTTCTGTAAACCTTGTTTCTTATGTACAGTTTCTTGGTAAAAAAAGACACAAGGCAATTTAAATCAAGTTATCATAGCAGCAATCAGGTTCCTTCCTCCAGAAGCCAGAGTGTCTCCCCTGTCAGTTTCCTTCTCTGCTACACTAACTCATCCACCTTGGCCCCTCTGCTGTCCTCAAAAAAAAAAGACAAGGCAATTTAAATCAAGTTATCATCCGATTTAAAAAACAGTACGGGGGCAGCAAGGAAACCGTTTGGGGTGGAACAAGCAAGAAGAGGGTGCCAGGATCTCCAATGATGGTGGGGAGCATAGTGCACCCCATGGTGAGAATGGGGTGTGTGAGTAAATGGCCCCCAGTGGTACTGGTGGTGGAGCAGAGGGAGCACAGGGTTACTCTGTAGTGCTGGTGGTGAGGAGGAGAGGAAATGTATTGGGATCTCAGCGGTGGGGGTGTTGGAGCCATTAAGAAGGTGCAGATCATGCTCCACAGATATCAGTCTAATTCTTATAATTCCATATAGCAGGCAGGCAAGTATTATTACAGCAATGGGAACTGAGTCAGTGTGCAAACACAGAATGGTACTTAAAAAGAGATTCACACATACACAAACTGTAAATAATAAACAAGACTCATTTTTTCTCAACTTTAAAATGTATAATTTTCTCTGCATGTGGATTTAAATATTCTTGTTAGAACTAAAACAACAATACAGTGATTGAACTGAAAAGCCTCTGGAAAGTAATTAGATTTAAAACTGAAATAAAAACAACATAAGTGTCCGGTTTACTCCTGTTTAAAGTCATTTAGTAGTCTATTATTATTTGTTTAGATTAACACATCTAGGGCCCCAGGCAGGTGCTGTGTAAACTCACAGGGCTTTGCCCGAGTAGGATGTTTCCAAAAGTTAAATGATCTAAACCCAAGTTTGGTGAACCGCAGAAAAGTAAGTAGCCTAAATAACAGAAAGTAATCTATACTTTTCTACAACTGTTATATTCAAGAGTAGTAATAAAGAATAAAACCCTTTATTTTTCTTTATACAGATATTAGATACAGTGTTTGTCAACTAAATCTAAGTTATTAATCACAAAAAGTTAGAGTTTTCAAATTGGCCTACAATCATGGCTGAAATTGTTGTCCCCTCCCCCAAATATGGAACAGATCCCTACCCATGCACAGTCCCATTAGCCTGTCTGGAGTTGTCATCCACCCCACCCAACATACAGAAGTCAAACTGCATCCATGCCTCATGTTCTGTAAACCTTGTTTCTTATGTACAGTTTCTTGGTAAAAAAAGACACAAGGCAATTTAAATCAAGTTATCATCCGATTTAAAAAATATATAGCAAAGAAAGCTGAGTTTGACTCAGCTTCTTTCCTAAAAATCATGTTTGGTGCAAACTTAAAATAGAGGACTAAGAATAAATTTAAAAATCTCTTACCCATGAACAGGAATACTGAGAAGCCTTTCCATGTTAGAAAGAATTATTTTTAAAGTCTCTGGTTCACGGTTAGATCCCATTTCTGTTACTAAAAGTGATTTTGTAATATCTGGGAATGGAAAACATAATTTTTTTCTCAACAGTCTGACTTACATAAGGACAGTAATTAAACATCTGAGCATCTCGTGCATTTTCACTGATTGGTCATTGTAATGAACATTCATCTAACATGTTCACTTTACAATCAATGTAGCACAGATGTAAATACTTTTTGCTTGGACCCTATGAGGAAGAAACACTTAGCAAAAAGAGCACTGTCCAGTCTTGCTTTGGGCATATATTCACTGGGATTACTTCTATTCAAATCCTTACAATCTTGATGCAATGAAATATTTAAACGTAGACAACTTCATGTTTGAGAAACAGAGATACCAGAAGTTAGGCCTATAACTCAAATGCTTTGCAGGTTCAGGGCTGAAATAAGACTATTTTTTTGGTAGTTTTGTCACTGTTTCTAAACAGATCAGTTTAACAAACACAGGCAATAACACCCCAAACATCCTAATTTTATTTTATAACATTCACAAGCCTATTATGTGCTTCAAAGAAAACAAAACACGGGCTCCTACTTTAAAGCACTTGGGATACATATGCACTGCATGCTTATTCTGGAACAGTTATTCCAAAATAGCTTATTTCAAAATAGCACATCTACACTGCAGGGAAGCCTTAACATTAGGCCGAGACCAGGCTTCCCTAATGTGGATGTGCTATCTTGATTTAGAGCCCCAGGAGGCCCTGATGAGGGGCTATTTTGAAATAGCAACAATGGAGCGTCTATACATGCCTTATTTTGAAATACTTATTTCAGAATAAGCATTATTCCTCACAGAATGAGGTTTAACCCAAGTTTGGTGAACCGCAGAAAAGTAAGTAGCCTAAATAACAGAAAGTAATCTATACTTTTCTACAACTGTTATATTCAAGAGTAGTAATAAAGAATAAAACCCTTTATTTTTCTTTATACAGATATTAGATACAGTGTTTGTCAACTAAATCTAAGTTATTAATCACAAAAAGTTAGAGTTTTCAAATTGGCCTACAATCATGGCTGAAATTGTTGTCCCCTCCCCCAAATATGGAACAGATCCCTACCCATGCACAGTCCCATTAGCCTGTCTGGAGTTGTCATCCACCCCACCCAACATACAGAAGTCAAACTGCATCCATGCCTCATGTTCTGTAAACCTTGTTTCTTATGTACAGTTTCTTGGTAAAAAAAGACACAAGGCAATTTAAATCAAGTTATCATCCGATTTAAAAAATATATAGCAAAGAAAGCTGAGTTTGACTCAGCTTCTTTCCTAAAAATCATGTTTGGTGCAAACTTAAAATAGAGGACTAAGAATAAATTTAAAAATCTCTTACCCATGAACAGGAATACTGAGAAGCCTTTCCATGTTAGAAAGAATTATTTTTAAAGTCTCTGGTTCACGGTTAGATCCCATTTCTGTTACTAAAAGTGATTTTGTAATATCTGGGAATGGAAAACATAATTTTTTTCTCAACAGTCTGACTTACATAAGGACAGTAATTAAACATCTGAGCATCTCGTGCATTTTCACTGATTGGTCATTGTAATGAACATTCATCTAACATGTTCACTTTACAATCAATGTAGCACAGATGTAAATACTTTTTGCTTGGACCCTATGAGGAAGAAACACTTAGCAAAAAGAGCACTGTCCAGTCTTGCTTTGGGCATATATTCACTGGGATTACTTCTATTCAAATCCTTACAATCTTGATGCAATGAAATATTTAAACGTAGACAACTTCATGTTTGAGAAACAGGAGATACCAGAAGTTAGGCCTATAACTCAAATGCTTTGCAGGTTCAGGGCTGAAATAAGACTAATTTTTTGGTAGTTTTGTCACTGTTTCTAAACAGATCAGTTTAACAAACACAGGCAATAACACCCCAAACATCCTAATTTTATTTTATAACATTCACAAGCCTATTATGTGCTTCAAAGAAAACAAAACACGGGCTCCTACTTTAAAGCACTTGGGATACATATGCACTGCATGCTTATTCTGGAACAGTTATTCCAAAATAGCTTATTTCAAAATAGCACATCTACACTGCAGGGAAGCCTTAACATTAGGCCGAGACCAGGCTTCCCTAATGTGGATGTGCTATTTTGATTTAGAGCCCCAGGAGGCCCTGATGAGGGGCTATTTTGAAATAGCAACAATGGAGCGTCTATACATGCCTTATTTTGAAATACTTATTTCAGAATAAGCATTATTCCTCACAGAATGAGGTTTACAGATTTCTAAATAAGCCATCTGTTATTTTGAAATAATGGAATGGCTGCATAGACACGTGCATTGTTATTTCGAAATAACGCTCGTTATCTTGAAATAACGGTGCAGTGTAGATGCATCCTTACAAAATAAGTAAGCAAAATGGACAAAATAAGTGTACGTTTGTGCAGGGATGAGGATGGAAATAGCTATGAGAAACTATACACCAATGGTTTCTGATATAAATAAACCTTTTCCAAAATAAAATTAAGAATTGCCACTCATTCCACTTCCCAACATGAGCTACTTAGTACTACTCACCTTCTTGTCCTGATACACAAAGCTTCTGACCATTGCAAAATGCACCTTTTCCTTTCCGGCCAGTATACATTTTGTCTTCCACACAACTATATACAACTCCAAATTCAATCTGCAAAGAAGAAAGGTTTCCTTTCCATCAATGTGCAAATGCCAGTTTTACATAAAGTGAGCAATGGTTAATGTTATGAATTTGATTTTATTTCTCTGTTGGATATTAGGTAATAATGTAAATTTACCTTTTTGTTGACTACAAAGCCAATTGAAACTGCAACAAATGGAAACCTTCAAAACAAAAATATTTTATTAATTCATAATTGAAATATGCTTATTTTGTTACTATACATTTTTAAAATTCTAGTTGTACTCCATCTGGGTTATAACAAGAAATATAGAATCATAGAATCATAGAATAATAGGACTGGAAGGGACCTCGAGAGGTCATCGAGTCCAGCCCCCCACCCTCAAGGCAGGACCAAGCTCCGTCTACACCATCCCTGACAGATGTCTATCTAACCTGTTCTTAAATAACTCCAGAGAGGGAGATTCTACCACTTCCCTTGGCAATTTATTCCAATATTTGACCACCCTGACAGTTAGGAATTTTTTCCTAATGTCCAATCTAAACCTCCCCTGCTGCACTTTAAGCCCATTACTCCTTGTCCTGTCCTCAGAAACCAAGAGAAACAAATTTTCTCCTTCCTCCTTGTGACACCCTTTTAGATATTTGAAAACCACTATCATGTCCCCCCTTAATCTTCTTTTTTCCAAACTAAACAAGCCCAGTTCACGAAGCCTGGCTTCATAGGTCATGTTCTCTAAACCTTTAATCATTCTTGTCGCTCTTCTCTGTACCCTTTCCAATTTCTCCACATCTTTCTTGAAATGTGGCGCCCAGAACTGGACACAGTACTCCAGCTGAGGCCTAACTAGTGCAGAGTAGAGCGGCAGAATGACTTCACGAGTTTTGCTTACAACACACCTGTTAATACAACCTAGAATCATATTTGCTTTTTTGGCAACAGCATCACACTGTTGACTCATATTCAACTTGTGGTCCACTATGACCCCTAGATCCCTTTCCGCCATGCTCCTTCCTAGACAGTCGCTTCCCATCTTGTATGTATGGAACTGATTGTTCCTTCCTAAGTGGAGCACTCTGCATTTCTCCTTATTAAACCTCATCCTGTTTACCTCTGACCATTTCTCTAACTTGCTAAGGTCATTTTGAATTATGTCCCTATCCTCCAAAGAAGTTGCAACCCCACCCAGTTTGGTATCATCCGCAAACTTAATAAGCGTACTCTCTATCCCAATATCTACATCATTGATGAAGATATTGAACAGTACGGGTCCCAAAACAGACCCTTGAGGAACTCCACTTGTTATCCCTTTCCAGCAGGATTTAGAACCGTTAACAACAACTCTCTGACTACGGTTATCCAGCCAATTATGCACCCACCTTATCGTGGCCCTATCTAAGTTATATTTGCCTAGTTTATCAATAAGAATATCATGCGAGACCGTATCAAATGCCTTACTAAAGTCTAGGTATATGACATCCACCGCTTCTCCCTTATCCACAAGGCTCGTTATCCTATCAAAGAAAGCTATCAGATTAGTTTGGCATGACTTGTTCTTCACAAACCCATGCTGGCTATTCCCTATCACTTTATTACCTTCCAAGTGTTTGCATATGATTTCCTTAATTACCTGCTCCATTATCTTCCCTGGGACAGACGTTAAACTGACCGGTCTATAATTTCCTGGGTTGTTCTTATTCCCCTTTTTATAGATGGGCACAATATTTGCCCTTTTCCAGTCTTCTGGAATCTCCCCTGTCTGCCATGATTTTTCAAAGATCATAGCTAAAGGCTCAGATACCTCCTCTATCAGCTCCTTGAGTATCCTGGGATGCATTTCATCAGGACCTGGTGACTTGCTGACATCTAACTTTCCTAAGTGATTTTTAACTTGTTCTTTGTGTATCCTATCTTCTAAACTTACCCTCTCTCTGCTTGTATTCACTACGTTAGGCACACCTCCAGACTTCTCGGTGAAGACCGAAACAAAGAAGTCATTGAGCATCTCCGCCATTTCCAAGTTCCCTGTTACTGCTTCTCCCTCCTCACTAAGCAGTGGGCCTACCCTGTCCTTGGTCTTCCTCTTGCTTTTAATGTATTTATAAAAGGTCTTCTTGTTTCCCTTTATGCCTGTAGCTAGTTTGATCTCATTTTGTGCCTTTGCCTTTCTAATCTTGCCCCTGCATTCCCGTGTTGCTTGCCTATATTCATCCTTTGTTAGTTGTCCTAGTTTCCATTTTTTATATGACTCCTTTTTTATTTTGAGATCATGCAAGATCTCCTTGTTAAGCCAAGCTGGTCTTTTGCCATATTTTCTATCTTTCCTACACAGCGGAATTGTTTGCTTTTGGGCCCTTAACAACGTCCCTTTGAAATACTTCCAACTCTCCTCAGTTGTTTTTCCCTTCAGTCTTGCTTCCCATGGGACCTTACCTACAAGTTCTCTGAGCTTATCAAAATCTGCCTTCCTGAAATCCATAACCTCAATTGTGCTGGTCTCCCTTCTACCTTTCCTTAAGATCATGAACTCTATTATTTCGTGATCACTGTCCCCTATACTGTCTTCCACTTTCAAGTTCTCAACTAGTTCCTCCCTATTTGTTAAAACCAAATCCAGAACAGCTTCTCCTCTGGTAGCTTTTTCAACCTTCTGAAACAGAAAGTTGTCTCCAATGCAGTCCAGAAACTTATTGGATAGCCTGTGCCTCGCTGTGTTAGTTTCCCAACATATGTCTGGATAGTTGAAGTCTCCCATCACCACCAAATCTTGGGCTTTGGATAGTTTTGTTAATTGTTTAAAAAAGGCCTCATCCACCTCTTCCACCTGGCTAGGTGGCCTGTAGTAGACTCCTAGCATGATATCACCCTCGTTTTTTACCCCTTTTAGCTTAACCCAGAGACTCTCTACACAGCTATCTCCTACGTTCATCTCCACTTCAGTCCAAGTGTGTACATTTTTAATATACAAGGCAACCCCTCCTCCCTTTTTTCCCTGTCTGTCCTTCCTGAGCAAGCCGTACCCTTCCATACCAACATTCCAATCGTGCGTCCCATCCCACCAGGTTTCTGTAATACCAATGATATCATAGTTGTATTTATTGGTTAGCAATTCCAGTTCTTCCTGCTTATTACCCATACTTCTTGCATTTGTATATAGGCATCTAAGATACTGATTTGATCTTGCCTCCCTGTTGTGCCCTGACCCTCCTTTCTCCTTGCCATTATATGGAGGGTTTAAGCTATCAAAAGCACTCTTCTGGAAATTTTCAGCTACTATCCTTTGCCACCAAACAGGCTCAGCCAATGCCAAATAAAAAATTAAACTCTTTGTAATTTTATAATACTGCATCTTTTGCTTCTCAACTTTCAGATCGACATACACTGCAAAATGGGTCTGTTCTTTTAACTCTGTACTAATTATACTACATAACGCTTTCAAGGCATGCCAGCAGTTGGTTACAGCTCGTATTTTATTTGAGAGCATTAAAGGACTTACACAAAAGTACTGCTACTCTAGTAACGCTTGCCTAGACAGTTTCTAATCAAGTATGAGCAAAAAACTCAAGATCTATTATGTCTTCATTGCATTTCAATTGCAAACAACATTAAACACAATTACTTGAATGATTCCAGAAAAAAAACAACAAAAAGTCTAGTCTAAATGTTGCCTCATTTAATTAGTAATCATGGACAAAACATACAAATGTACCTGTGTACAAAGTTTGTAGTTCCATCAATAGGATCAATAATCCATGTGGGATTATCTGTCAAGGTACTGCCTTCTCCAGCTGCAACAGATTCTTCTCCAATAAAACTAGAGTAGCAAAAATATATTTAAAACATGAATTAAAACTAGGGATGTTAAATGGTATTTAATCAGCTAGTCTGTCAGGCTAACACAGTTAAAGGGCTAAAGTGCACTGAAGCGGAGGGTGGGGGGGGGGGGAGCAGCGGGAGCCAGGACAGGTGATTCCCGGCTCATGCCTGGTCCCCTGCTACGCCTCTGCCTCCCCTGCCCTCCGCAGAGATGGTGCTGGGGAGTGGGGACTGGCTTTTAAGCAAGAGCCTCCTCCTCACCCTTACTGCCTCTCTCTGATAAAGGCAGCAAAGGAAGAGGGGGAAAATGACTCGTTGACTCACTAGTCAACTATCCGATAAACATATGCCTATCGGATAGTCAACTAGTCGCTTGCATCCCAAATTAAAATATGAATGGAATTTATAGTACTGTAACTTTGCAACAGGTGATGTTTATCATTCTTAGAAGAAAAGCATGTGTAACCTGAAAATTAAGCAGCACTTATCTATGTGAAATTTAGCTGAAAACAACTGAATTGCAATTGGCATTTTAGCAAGCCAGTAATGGTGGGCTACTTGTTGAGGAGTGATATTCGTGGAACTACAGATAAAACGGCACAATGGGAGAGATAATAAAAATGTTTATATGTTTTAATATTAGTTTACAACAGCATTCTTTTGGACATAATGTTGAAGTCTATTTTATTAGATTATTAAAGCTGTCTCGTTTCCTCTTTATCCGTATAGTCAGTGTCAGGAGCGACAGGTATAACAGGCCAGAGAATGCATTGCCTTCCATGGAACTGCCATTGACTTGCTACCAGACAATGGGCCGCAGAGCCCCTGCCCTTCCCCAAGAACCCCACCTCCTTCTTTACTCCATCCCCAACTCGAAGGTCCCTGCTGCTCACCATCTCTCTTCTTCTGGAGATGGGGGGTTGAGAAGTGGCACAGGGAACTGGCAGTTACATGCACTGCAGGTTCTGCAGTATAAGTTTTATACTGCAGAGCCTGCAACAAAGCCAGCTGGGGTTGCAACAAATCCTCCATGGGAGCCAGCATGTAATCTGCGATGGAGAAGGTAAAGGGGGGGAGAAGGCAGATGTGTTAAGAGACAGGGGCAGTCCCTGCCTGTGGTGGGCCCCACCGGGCTGGAGCTGCCCTCTGCCCGGGGTGGGCAAGGAACTGCTCCAACCCTTGCTGGTTAACCATTTACATCCCTACTGAATACTTTATCCCTTCAGTCACCATTTCCTCTTTTCCCACCAACAGCAATTAAAATATCATCAATAGAAGTTGTACCTGTGAGAAGGATATTTTTCCTTTATAGAAGAAATAATCATTTTTTCCACTTTTTGATCAGTTATTGTCACTAGATCTGCTGGTGAGCTTTTAACCATAATTGATATTTCTTCTTTCAATGCTTCCCGGACTACCTGTAAAGAATATAATTTTGTTAATAAAAAACTTCAGGAAAATACTAGTTATTCTAGCTTCCAGAAGGCCAAGGCATGGTTATTTTTTTCTGACTGTAATAATTTGATCTGACAAAAATCTACACATGTGCTTAACTTTATATACTACAAATAATCTCCTTTAAGGACGGAATATTGGTCAGCTCCATTTTGCTAGAAGCAGTTTTAAAATTTAAGTCTTACGGTATTTTAGCATTAACAAAATGCTATAAAGTGAAATGAAACACTAAATGCTACACCCTAGGTTAAGTTATTTCCAGGCCAGACTATGGACATGTGACTGAATCTCTGCCTTCCAACCTAGAAAATCATACTGAGGACTATTAATGTAATGAAATGAACCTTTGTTTGAGGGAATATTTACTGAGGCAGTTAAAGGGATTTCAATATTTACTGTAATTCTGAAGACTTTATGTCTGGTATGTGCCCTAACCTTATCTGTGTGCACAATAAGAAACTGATGTATAGAAGCAGAGACCTGGCTATCCACTCTATCCCTAGGCTCCTCAGAGATCTGTTTCAATTCTTCTTGCTTTCCTGCCATGTTACACCACAGCCAGAAGGCAGAGGGGCAAGCCACCAAAAGTGAGGGAGCAAGAGCTGTTGCCTCACAAGGGAGAGAATCTCAATAAAAAGTGGAGTGAGGGGAGATGGCAAATTGTCTGCCCAAGGGCTAGAGAGGCACCAGACTGGAAGCAGGCTTCTGTTGAGTAAAGAGATACAGGACTGTGGAAAAACCACTCTGAGAAAATGCAGGCAGTAGTCATGCACTCTGTTCAGACAGAAAGGCAGCACTATGAGGGACAAACGATATGCTGCCTACTACAGCAGCAAGTGCACTAAAGAGAGTTGCTTTTAACCAAATGTAAGGTACCAAAAGCATATGTGCAACAAGGAGAGAAGCTAAACCACAAATAATTGCTATCTATCAGTCTAAGGCATTGCAAAGACTTTTTCCTAAATTAGCCTAGTTGAGGAACAGAATGCACTCTTATTTTTAATTCATTGCCATTTCACTTTAGAATTTTAATTTATGTTTGTTTTTGGCAAAATATAGAGGTGCAATATTTGGCAAACTTTAAAACAAAATTTCTCTAAAAGACATACATGAGTATCTCTGGAAACATAAAATAAGTTTACATACCTCTCCAGCCTTTCTTGCTAAAATAACTGCATAATCCATGCATTGTTGCCAAGAATCAGCCATCTTATCCTAGGTACAGTACCTATTCGATAGATATGTTAGTATAGACACTTAATAAGTGTTCAAACTGTTGACCAACAGTCCACTTACTCTTTCTCTGTTTCTGATTTCAACATCCCTTCTCTGATGGAAGTTATGCTCAAAGATATTTGAGAAATAAAGCTTGCCGTGTCCTCCACAGCAAAGAGATTAATTTGTGATAACTCTAATGCTTTACTCTGGTCACGCCACTGCCGGGCAATTTAAAGTTCAAATCATGAATACTAATTTTCTATTAAATCTAAGACACTATTAAGCATAGACCCTGAAAGTATAACGACATATATGTGTGATAAATTTCACATACAGTGGGCAGTCAACAACTTGGATGGGAGTACTCACTCCATGTAAAGTTAAACATTCATATGTCTTAGCAGGATCAGGGCTACAGTGGGGTTATGTAGATGATATTTTTACACAATGTTGAATGCTCACTTCAAGTTAGAATTTTCATTATAATATGCTTCAAATGTAAAACGGGCATAATTCAGTCTACTTTTAGATAGCGTTTCGGTTAAATTGCTTCAGACATTTCAAAACCAGAGAGCAAAATCAGTATCTGTCCTATTTCGGAGATATATTCCAGATTCAGACAGCTCAGAAATGGTTAATTTCACATAGAAAAAATTACAAAGTATTGTAATTACTTTAATACACATTTTATACCCTCAAAATATTATGAACTGTGTATGAAAACACATTACCAATGTTATCATGTAGGTAAACTTGCACAAGCAATATAATATACAATGTATGAATGTACTACACAATAGGGATGTGAAATCCCATTAAAAGGAAGAGTGGATGGGGGAAATCACTCAGGCCTGGCCGGATCACCCCTCACCTTGCTGTTGGGCTGGTACCCCTCCCACAGCAGGCAGGAAGCTGCTCCACTCCCCATCAGTTAATGGGTGAGACTTACCGGGTAAGTTAAGACGATACTTTCACATAAGGTTAACTTTAATGACATCAGAGTGATACGTGACCCTTTAGCTTACGAGAAGGGCAGGAGCCGCTTGCATCGCCAGGGCTTTTTTTAGAGACAGAAAGCAGGGTCCTACTGCGCTAGAACTTGTTGCGGA